CCCACAAGGATAGCTGACCAGACAGTGTGTGTGTGTGTGTGTGTGAGTGAGAGATGTTTTCAGACTGCTGATTATGTGTCTGCCCAGGGCAGAGGCGAAACCAAACACACCACATTCCAGAGAGAGAGCGAGACAGAGAGAGACATGTGACTGTATAAACTATGTTTAGATTTTACGCGTTAAACGAGTTATATTAAACATGCTGCCTGATCTGATCAGCATGAATCATTTGAGCAGCACCAGATTTACAGCATTCTGTTCTGATGAGATTTAACGGCTCATTTCTGTCCCTGTGAGTAAGAACACATTACAGGTGCGGCGCTCCTGTCAGACATACAGCATTAAAGAGGTTAATTAGCGGTGTGCTTAATCACTGACGTCAAGCAGCACGCCAAACAACAACAACCAAATTTATCAAGGATAATCAAAAGGAATAGTTCATCCAAAACCCAGAATGTGTAATCATTTACAAACCATTATGCCACTGCAAACTCATTTGACATCCATCTTCAGGTCAGTAAATGACAGAATTTAAATTGTTGAGTGAATTATTCCTTTGATGTCCATTATGAAAGCCAAACAATATGTCAATATGTTTGTGTTGTGGTTTGAAAAACCTTAAGCTCATTTGAATCTGATAAAGATTTTCATAAAATAAAAAGGTAATTTGTTTGGAAACAATATTTTTAAACATGATTTACATTTTCCACCACGAACTGTGCCAAAGATAAGCAGACATTTAATTTCTATTTAGATGGCAAAAATAAGAAACTTTCTTTAACAGTTATTTAAAACTAGCATAAGCTCTGAACCAAAAAAAATTAAGGGGCTTTTTGAAACTGAAATATAAATTTTTAGTGTCATATCAAAGGCTCTAAAAAACTAGCATGACACCCCTATATGCATCCTGGATGCACTTCAATGAAACCTGAGCATTTGGACTCACAGAGGCAGGTTGAAGAAGTGTTGTTGAGTTGTTTTTATACAACAAATTAGGAATTGTTACTGCTACGATTAATTGTGAAATAAGCCTCCAATTAAAAGCAGCAGTGTAATTGCCACCGGATCACTAATTGACTAGTTAGTTGGACGACTAGTCAACCATCTATCTATAGGATCTTCCTTAATTGTTTCACACTGTAGAATTTTAGGACTGAAATTTGAGCTCAGTTATGTAAAGGCCAGGCAAAACCAGGATTAAAAATGGCCATAAGCAAGGATTTAAAAAGACACTAAGCCAGTGGTAAGCACAATGTGAAGAGCCCATTATTATATATTTGAACTTTTTGAAACAAAAAATAGTGAGCTTTGGATGATTTCTAGTGTTGAAGTATTTAGACATCACACATTCAGCCACTCTATATCTCTGTTTTACTTCACAAAATGTATTTTATTCCCTATTATTCCACCCGCTTAGAGCTCTACTGATAGACTTTGAATATGAGTCAAAAAAATAAAAATGGGGATCTTTATCTCAGAGTGCTTGGCTAAATGAAAGCCATTCTTTGCCACTGAAAGCCCCAAGAAAGACAGAGCGAGTGAGATGAACAGAGACAAATGAAGAGAGAGAGATTAAGAGCGAGCAAACGAGAGGACGAAAAGCAAGCCCTGGTCCCAGCGGACTCTGATGGCAGAGAAGATGGGATCAAGCCTCACTAAATGAATTAGATAGCATGAGCGAGAGAGCAACTCATGAAATTTACTCAACTCCCCTAATGATGTTCCTGTCTGACTGAATAATGGAAGCACTTGGGAGAAAGACAGCCAGAGAGAACGGACGCAAAAGGAAACAGGAGGTGGGTGACAGGAAGAGTGCTTGTGATATTTATATTCTACAACAATTGAATGATGTTAGACTATTAGACACAGTTAGACACAAGGTAATAGTCTAGGTTTTCAGGTTCTCAACAATGATTATACAGTAGTCTTACTCTTAGGGCCGTCCTTAAATTTGCAATCACCAATCCAATGAGTAGACTCGAGTCATCTAGAGGACTTTACTAGGCCACTCCTTAACGTTCCCAGCCTCACAACCCTAGTTTGATCTACAACTTCTCCACTTATATCTAATCACAATCACCCTTTGCACCAAGATAATGGAAGTTGAACTCTGGCAGAGGACATTACTGAAGCACACCCATTCATCCAACCAACAAATCAATCATTGTAGCCATGCAGTGCGTCTTAATGGCCTGCTATCAGAGAGTGGACTTACCGAGTTGATGCACGGTAGCTCCTTGTTGAGCAGCCAGGGCAAAGACAGCCTGCCCTCTCCTCTATAGCACGACTGAATCCTTTCCTTGATCTTCTCCTTTATTCTCGTCAGCGTGAACAGGCAGAGCGCCGACTCTTTTGGGGGTTTGGCCCGGTTCTTCTGACCTTGGGAGAAGACTGTAAACAATATGTCCTCTTGCTCAGACACTCCCAAGGAGTTTGCAAGATGCCTTCCGGGTTTGGCCAAGTAGGCATCCTGGATCAGTCGATACTCTACGCCATCTTTGGTGCATCCGATTGGGAACTCTACATAGGAGTAGAACCTGGGATCATCGATACAAAGTCGGACGATCTTCGAGGTGAAAAACTGTTCCCCACTGGCATCAGGAGAAGTAAGTTGGGTATCCAGTTGCAAGGTCAAGTAGTAGACAAACTGTTCACTGCTAAAGCTGTATATGTAGTAGATGTCGAACGTCGGGAATTTGGACAGTGTATCTGAGGGGATCTTCAGCTGGGAGGAGACAAACTCATCCTGGTGGACAAAGCTGAACATGTCAGCATCCTCCTCATTGGCCATCAACTTACGGCTCGAAAGAGTTGGGAAGTACTCTGATTTTCCATCAATGGGAGTTCCAATGAAAAGCTTACTGATATGACCCTCAGAGATGATGACCCCAGACATGGTTCCCGACTCACCGACGCTGGAGAGGTAGTGTTCCTTACGGTGGTGTGGCTCGCCAAGCTTGAAAAGGTCATCCAGGCGCAGAAACTGACAGATGCCTTGCGAGGTGCTTCCACAAGCAATGAGTCGGTTTTGAGCATAGTCTATTAGCAGCAGCTTGTTCACATTACTATTTGGGGCAAGGTCATGGGGGCATAACTGTACACCTGGAGGTGGATAGCATTTCTCGTTGTCCACTACAGGACCCGTCATATGACTCCTCAACTTGGTCAAGTTGCTAGAAAGCTTGTAGATCCAGTTTACCGCGCCAACATACACATCCCCCGTCTTGTTATGGATGGCTAAATGCGTTAGACCCCAGTCAGAAGGCAAGAAGGACCTAAATGGCTCTGGGGATCCTTCAGAAAGGTGAGGGGATATGCAGACAGTCAGAAGCCCAAGGAGCACCACAGTCCTTGGGCTAATAAAGCATTGCGGCCCCTGCTGTCCGGTGTATAGACGCGACCGGGAGTGTTCACTTCCTATACCACCTCCACGCTATGTCTTCAATTGGGGACTTTTAAACAAACTCAACAAACAAGGAAGGGAGGCAGCACAGGCTTTTTTGATTCAACGCTTCCTTGCCTTCCCACAAAACAGTCATCCACTTCAGCATTCACCTCAATTCCTTGTCCGGGGCTCCTGCAGGGCAAAAAAAACACATTATGAGTGCAAATGGAACATATCCGATTCATTATGCATAATTTCTCAAAGTCAAACAGTGAGGAAAAAGAATAAAGACAATATCTTTCATTTTGCCACAAATCATTTAGAATCGCGTGGTCAAATGAGGTGAACCTTGTCAACTTTTAATTACTGAGACTGATAGCTCTGGGGGTGAAGATGGATTGGAGACGCACTGTATACAAACTCTTCACTAAGCAACACCACAGCTGTAGAGTTGGTCTTGCTTCAATACGGGCATAAAACATCCATCATCACAAGCGTCTGACAGCAGCTTTGTATAGATGAAGTATGGAGTGCATAAAAGTGCACCTTTAAAAGAGCCCTGAAAACAAGCAAGTCTAAAGTAAGTCTTTGAGGTCTGAAATGCTTGAAGTTGTTCCGAACTTTACAAGGGCAAGAAAATTATATTGTGTTGTTTCAAGTCAACTCGAAAGGATTTATACCTACATCTTGTCCTTTTCTAATTCACAGCTCTGAGAACACAGATTGCAGTGTAAAACCAGAAAGAATTCCACATCAATGCATTGTGACGAATCATTTTTATCTGTACACCATGATTATATGATCTAATACTCTGTTGGGAAGTAGTGACAGGCCAGTTAGCTGTGAAAAAAATATGCAACACACCAATTATTAATAGTAAATGGGCCATAAGATTAGACCAGCAGTATCTTGGTCATAAGTTTAGACCAGGGTTCCTCACAACCAGCTATGGATGGCCACTGCCCAAATCAAAGAAACAAGCTAATCAAGGTCTTCAGAGTTACTAGAAAATTACAGCTAGGTGAGTTTGATCAGAGTCTGAGCTAACAGATTTGAGAACCCTGGTTTAGACATTGACATTTAAAGTCAACAGATCAACAAACCCAGGACTGATATCACACCAAATGACTGAAACCGCCACTGAATATATATGTATATGCCCATGCAAGCTGCCGTTATCACAGATGTTGTTATTTGTGTCACGGATCTCAGTCTAGATCAATATTATCACTGGCATCAGTTGTCAAATGAGCCACTCGCACACGTTCTGCCTAAAAACCACAGACAGACTATTGTGCAAACACATTACAGTCATAGAACCTTTATTTACTGACACATCTACCACAAGCTTTATTTATGCATAAGCATCCAAAAACGAATATACAGAAACATTTTTAAATGTTAATTTAACATAAAAATTTTATAATTAACAGCCGCAGCATCATCATAGAAATGCAACGCAATGGAAAAACGTTCAAAAAACACTTTTCACGCTTTGGGCAAGAGAAGTTCCTGACAGGTTTCATGAGATTCTCCCTAGAAACCACCTCACACCAACGAAACAAGCGCTGGGGTACAGTTCAGCATAAGGAGCATGAGACACAGTTAATATGGAAGTCAATTCATTCTCCATTTCTCCCACAGCTGCCCGAGGACACGTTACTCTGCGAGTCGTCTCACAGCCCCTCTGCTTTAGAAAACAGAGCATAAATTCACGTCCACACACTGCGGACAGACCTCTAAACCCGTCTCCTCAGATAATGGCGAGTGGTGGCAGGCGGCCGGCTGATTTATTACTCGTGGCATATCAATTACAGCACGAGCCTCTCAGATGGAGCGCGAATACACACAGAATACACTCCGAAACAGACGTGTATAAAACACACACAAAGCAATATAACTTATATAATCCAGTAGCCTCAGTTGGGGAAAAAACTGAGAAAATGTATGTTTAAAATGGCAAACTATGGCAATTACAACCATCTACAAGGTGAATCACAAATTAGCAAAAACTAAAAAAAAGTGAAAATCGGACAAAATAGCAAAAATATAAAACTGTGAACTTAAAGGCTTTAATGAGTAAAAGAACTACAATCCCATGAACCACTGCAAATGACAATCAAATTAAAATGGACAAATAAATAAATAATTTGAGTATTTTATCAATTATAAAGGTTTTGTTTTCATATATTTATACAATATATTTTCATGCATTGGATATAGATATATACAAAAATATTAGTAGTTTTAGAGCATAGGGACTTTTATTATGTCATTTGCAGAGTTTCACGGGAATGGAAGAGGCTAAAGTTTTTTTGTGGCATGATTTGCTTGTTGCAGTTTCTGATTTAGTTCGCATAATCATGTGTAATTATGGGTTTTTAACTAGAAATTCCGCTGTTACACGATTATTTAAAAATGTGTTTAAATAATGTGGGCTGATGATTCAACAAAAGCATATACCATCAATTAATATAGCTTGCAGTAGGTCGGTTTTTAACAGTTTATGTAAGTCATTGGCCCTTGGAAGAAAATAAACATGTATTTTTTACTTCTGATTGTGGTGCTCTATAACCTTAACCCTGACTGTTTTGCTCAACAGACACGAGGCTATGAAAGCATGAGTGTTTGTTGAACATGCCTCAGCCTTTATTTAATATTTTGACTTCATGCCAGTCCTTCACAGCAGACGGATTCGTCTAGGAGTGTGAATCGAAAGCATTTAGGGATGTTCTCTCATTGAAATCATCCAAACTGGAGACTATGAAAGAGAAAACCAGAACGTTTGGTCTCAACTTATTTAAAAACTGACCAGGTAAGCCAACCATCTACAAGGTGAATCACAAATTAGCAAAAACTAAAAAAAAAGTGAAAATCGGACAAAATAGCAAAAATATAAAACTGTGAACTTAAAGGCTTTAATGAGTAAAAGAACTACAGTCCCATGAACCACTGCAAATGACAATCAAATTAAAATGGACAAATAAATAAATAATTTGAGTATTTTATCAATTATAAAGGTTTTGTTTTCATATATTTATACAATATATTTTCATGCATTGGATATAGATATATACAAAAATATTAGTAGTTTTAGAGCATAGGGACTTTTATTATGTCATTTGCAGAGTTTAAAGAGGCTAAAGTTTTTTTGTGGCATGATTTGCTTGTTGCAGTTTCTGATTTAGTTCGCATAATCATGTGTAATTATGGGTTTTTAACTAGAAATTCCGCTGTTACACGATTATTTAAAAATGTGTTTAAATAATTTGGGCTGATGATTCAACAAAAGCATATACCATCAATTAATATAGCTTGCAGTAGGTCGGTTTTTAACAGTTTATGTAAGTCATTGGCCCTTGGAAGAAAGTAAACATGTATTTTTTACTTCTGATTGTGGTGTTCTATAACCTTAACCCTGACTGTTTTGCTCAACAGACACGAGGCTATGAAAGCATGAGTGTTTGTTGAACATGCCTCAGCCTTTATTTAATATTTTGACTTCATGCCAGTCCTTCACAGCAGACGGATTCGTCTAGGAGTGTGGATCGAAAGCATTTAGGGATGTTCTCTCATTGAAATCATCCAAACTGGAGACTACGAAAGAGAAAACCAGAACGTTTGGTCTCAACTTATTTAAAAACTGACCAGGATGACCAAAAACCTTCCATTACATCACCTAGCTATTGGGATTACAAGACTGTTACCCAGAATCCCCTGCGCCGATGACTTGAGAGGGTTCAGCCTGTTAACATTCCAGAGGAAACAAGAGGAACCGAGTGAAGCAGATCCTTCTCTCTCCTGTTTCCTACTTGGCCGCAACACACAGTCAGTGATAGGGTTGGGTACCGAAACCCGGTGCCAATATGGCTTGTAACCGGTATGTGCTAGAACTGAATCAGAACGCAGATTTCGGTGCCATGCCCGAGCGATCGATTGAAGTATTTGTCCTCTGGTTCTCCGAAACGGACGTAAGCATCATCATCACCGGCACCGGACGAGAAAAGTAATTTCCCGACTGAGAAAATGCACGTGAACTCAAGTTGGAAAGCTCTAATAATACAAATCCAACACATCTTTGTAGTAACGAGTGTCCATGTAGTTTTCACATTCTGACTTAAAAGCAGAACTCGGGAAACGAGAGCATCCGAGGAGCGCGTGAATGCAGTAATTACACTTGCTCTGATGCCAGCAGGTAGCCTTCCGTTAACTAAGCTAACCATGCTTAAATTAAAATGCCTAAAGCTAAACCTACCTTGTATTCACATTTCTAAACCTGTTGTCCAACAAAAGAGAACATTATAAACTTTTCACTCCACAACACCAGTCAAATTTACTTTAAAAAGAATACATCGATTAGCAATGGATTATAAATATACTTAATTATGAAAATACCAGAGATGGCTTGAATAACACAGATAAACTATATTGTCGCAGTCGTGTATTTATTGCCTTTTTTTATCATTCAAAACGTTTATATGTTCTGTTTACTCAGTTACAGCTATAATAGCGATGCCTTTGTCCATATAAGAGATTTCCTGGAGGGTCATGAGATCTCTACTTCTGTGACTGGATATGTGGATTTTCTGTGCGAGGGCGCCCTCTGACGTCCAGTATGAATGAAACAGACATGTGTTTATAGTGCTAACGGCCAACCCATCATTTTTTGGGGAATTTTTATTTATTTATTTTTTGATAAGTATCGGTTCAGGCACTGTTTAGGCACCGGAACCGTTTTAAAAGTATCGATTTGGCACCGGTATCGAAAAAACCCAAACGATACCCAACCCTAGTCAGTGAAGTGTAAGATGCAGTACAGCTGAGTGTGTGAGTGATAACATTGTGCAAGTTCTTAAAATCAAACGGGTTCGTCACCTTCCACAACAACAGATGTGTGATCTGAGAGAACAGAAACATCTGAGCAGTCAATCTCACAATCACAGCATGATGTGCATAACATAAAAGCATGAACATTTGCATGCATGCATATGCATGACACACAGAGGGAATGAATGATGAACTTGTAAATCAGGCTAAATGCTGCATTCGCTCACCTGTCTCTCTCTGAGCTGCAGAGACCTGTCGCCAGTATTACATCATATCCATTGCCATGTTTTGCGATGAGTGATTATGATGCACTTTAAATTCCAGTCACATGGTGTTATGCAAATAAGCAAATTAAGTGAATTTTA